ATCGAAACTGTTGATTCTTCTTCGACACAGCAAACAGGCAAGGGAAAAAGTTTTAGGCGGTCTGTCGGTTTTTGTGTCTCTGGCTCGCCTCATTTGAACCCGATGAACCTTGTTCCATTCCCTTTTACTTTTTGCTATACATATATTTTTAAACATTTTTTTTGAATTGTTTCCTATTTTTTTGTACTTGTTTTCCCTTGTTTTTGGTGTTTGTGCGTGACATATTTGTGTGAGCAGTTGACTCTTCGCTTTTCCCCTTTTGGGGGTAACCATTTGTTTGCCCAAATGCTTGACTCGGATTTGTTGTCTGGCCCTCTATTTTCCCTTTTAGGGTATGAAGAGGGGCTTGGGGCTTATCATTCGGAGGGATCGATGAGGTAGGCTTGGGAATGGTACCTTCTAACTGCTATGCAAATGATGAACATGATTTCAGGGTATTGAGTGAAATAAAATTAATGTCAAAGGAGTAGGCACATAAAAAATTACGGTGCTTGGATGTAAAATGGACAAACAGTAAAAAATGTGTCAAAAGATACTATAAACTAGGACATAAATTATATAATGATTTATATGTATAAGATTTTAAAATTTCATTATTCGGATTGTTAAGAAACATGAAAGTCGAAGCACCTTAATAGGGTATCTATAGATACCCATCGTTTATCTTACATTTGCAGTCTATAGGGTTTATGAACAAACGACAGAGAAAGCTGCACATTTAGTGGGAAGGCGGGGGTTACTGTGGGTAGGAACAAAATCATCACTCGTCGTTCTCTCATCGCTGCTTGCACTGATTCCGCAGCTGCTGCTGTTGCATCCGAGAAAATCCCCCAATGAATAGCAAGTTGCAAACTGCATTTGAATTGCAAACCCGTGTCCCCTGCCCCCCTCCCCCACCCTGTCGAGCAGCAACTACCCACATTAGTTTAGCATATGTTTTACATAACTGAGAGTCGGAACCGGAGGCTGGGACCACGACAGTTCCCCAAAGCTGAACTGAATCCTCGGCTTATGCTCCACTTCTGGCTGTCTGAACTTTCGGATAATTTCTTTTTCATTTCGTTACTTTTTTCTGCGTGTTTTTGTACACAGGAGGAAATAATTGTTGATTTGATAAAATAACGAAGTTATAATGCATATATTTAATATTACAGCCTTGCCCTTTGAACTCGTTATAGTTTCTAAATTAACTAATTAATAGTTGTAAGTATAAAAAGCATTTCAGTGTATCTCGGGACTTCCTGTTTGTCCTATTGCTAATCATCACTACATCTCTCGGATCGGAATTCTAGTTTCGTTGCCGCTTCGACGGAATCAAAGATTGAACGTTTCGGGGGACCACGAAATGTACGCAGCTCAAAAACAAAATTTATTGAAATGGCAAAAGGAAGACCTTGATCTTTAGATTATCACGTCAATAAATGGATTTCGTTTTGTATTTCTTTTCATTTTTTGTCGCCGTCGTTCTGCCGCTGCTCTTTTTTGGCGGCGTCTTCAGCCTCTTGTTGTTCTTGTTCTTTGGCGTTCAAGAAGCGAAAACGAAACCGAAATCGAAATGAATCGGAAACTGGTGGAACCAGTCGAGCAGCAGATGAAAAGACGACATAAAACCAAGCCCACTGAACTGACAGAGCCAAAAAGAACTTCTTGGGCTAATTAAGAGTTTTGGCTAGCGCCGGCTAACTTGTGTTCGCACTGGCTGATCTCGAAATCCAAGATCTCGGCCCATTAATTCAAATGCAACTCTATTAGGGGAGTCTTTGTGCATGAAGTCACAGCTCACACTCGCCCCATCGCGACTCTAAGATTGCTTCTCGCAAATGTATTCCACAAATGACGCTTACGTGATTACATAAAGACCCATAAAAAGTGATTTGAACTTGAAATCGCTAAATGCGTCATGCAATTGAAACAAATACACGGCAACAGAAACAAAAACGGCGCTTGTTAAAAAAGAGACTAGAGAAAATCACTGAAATCTGTGGAAATAAAAACGTACTAGCCATAAAATTGTTACAATGACAACGGACAGGCAATGGCTAAAACAACGGCAGCAACAGCGCAGTTTGCCAGTAGATCAAATTGAATAACTGCTTTAGCTTTCAGTCGCAGCAGCAGCAACAGCAACAACAGCAGCAGTCAACTATATAGCAAGAAGATCAACAAAAGCAGGCAAAGTCGAAAAGAGCGCATCAATTAGGCTTATACCCATGTACATATATACCTCTCCCATATACTCACTATATAGTATAGCACTCGTGTTCTTGACGATGTTGCTGCTGTCACTGCAATTGCTGTTGCTGCTGTTGTTGCTGCTGCTGTTGCTGTTGCTGCTGCCCTCTGTTAAATGACAATTGCTGCTGTCGTAACAGATGTTGCTGCTGGTGTTTTTGCTGATATTCCTACTGCTGCCGTGCCTTTTGAGTTGCGAATATTGCCACTTGGTTGTCTCAAATTGTTTTACCCATTTCCGTAGGCCCTGCTGTTGCTGCTGTGGCTTTTGGTGTTGCTACTTAGTTGCTGTTGCAGATGCTGCTAGTGTGGCTTTTGGTGTTGCATTTTGTGGGCACATGTCGTGTAAGCGTGACTTTTAATGTATCTATTAATTGCTACAATACCCACTCACACTTTATGTTCTTAATGCTCCTTTAAATATATAGATACCACTATTTATAACTTTTTGAGCATGTTTGTATCACTTTGGACGGCAGTACATTTAATATTTTAGAACATCACTGTGGTCGGCAGTCCACGTAGTGACGAATCGCACCGGAAATAAGTAATACACCGATCGAAAGGTATTGCGATCTTTTTTCATTCGGCACTCTGTAATATAATACGCCCTTTTATGCGAGAAGCTTAGATATTTTGCTTAGGCGGCCAGAATAAACATTTCAGAAAGTGTAATAATTTAGTCGAATTACAAGCATATTTTGTCAGAAAATTTGATATCGATATCAGAACTTTTGTATGTTGATAGTGTGATAGTCACGAACGCTCACCTCGGTAAGAGGTACTTGTACTCGATTCGTTACAAAAGTCACTAGTATTTTAACTAATTAAATATGCTTTTTTAAAGTTTTTTAATTTAGTCTTAAGTAAAAACCATCCTTTAAATTAGGGAAATTCTATCATCATAAGCACGATGTTTGTTAAACTCTACAAGATATGTAAATGTGAATCTGTGAAGCCAATGCAAATTCTTATCCAATCTCTTATGAATTAAAGAATTAATAGCCACCTCGTGCATGCAAATACCAAGTTGAAATAAGTGAAGAGGCCTTTGCACACGACATTACTCAACTGCTCAAGTGTGAAATGTAATTAGAAGACATGTTCAATATGGCGATCAGATAACGAGCTTATGTCAGCCCCCATTCTGACTCACAAGACCCAGGGAGGTTCTTGGCCAAGACAAATCCGACAGCATTGTCAAACAAGATGCCTATCTCGAAAGCGTGCAATTTTACTATGCAATAAAACAAAGTTGATTTCGCCTTGAAAATGGCAAAACTCATGCGATATGTTCTGGTTTAAGCCTTAAGATTTATTTCTTTCTCTAGAACTATACGCAAGGACCAAACAAATTAACTAAAAAGCCTCACAGCAATTCAATTTCGCTTTCAATGGCAAACAAACGAAATGTCACTGCGGGTTAACTCAGTGGAGGAAGCCGCTTAGAGCCAAACAAATTAGCAGCAAAATATGGCCAGCCGGCAAGATGCAAATGCAAATTCAAATTCGACAATTGGATTGTCCGGCTTTTTGGCTCTGGCCGGGGGCCAAATGTTGTAGCCGGAAGCGAAATTCTCATGTCCTGTGGACCCGAAATTCGTATGACAATGACAATTATCCGAGGCTAGTGACTATTATCCCTGCCCCCTCGAAATGCTCGTGGGGACACGCCCACACAATGAGGGATAATTGTGAGTTACGCATACGCCAAGTGGGCCCCAGTATGGGTTTGATTTTATTGCCCACAGCCTGGACCCCAGAGCCAAAGCCAATTTGAGCCTGGCCCGAGCAATTTGGCAAAAGGAAGCCAAACAGCCGAACGGAAAAAATGTGAAAATGAAAATGGGCAGAGACACACATTTTCGGATGCCCATAGAAATTTCCAAGATTCATTTTTTTGGAGTAGGAATCCCCTTCGGTAAATTGAATTGAAGCGACGCCAGAATGGGCATGGCATCAATTCAATACCAGGAGGCTGTCTGCTCACCATATGTGCCCCTCTGAGTGCACAGTGGAAAAAGGTTTCTAATAAAATATTAGTAGAAAACTTATTTAGGAAAATCTAATGTTAGGCGCTGTAGTCGATTCCCTCGACTATCAGATACCCGTTACTCAGCTAACATACATAAAAATAATAAAGAGAGGTCGGTATAGCCGGGTGCTTTGACTATTAGAAACCCGTACTCAGCTAAGGAGAGGGAGATGGAGATATGCATGCAGAAAATCTGCTGTTTCCAAGATTGCACATTTTATTTGGTAATATCTTTTTAATGAAAGGTCTAATTTAAATCATTTTTTGCATTCAAATGCTATTGATAATAAAAACACATTTACAAAAGTCTAAACTTGAAGTGCGCAAGGACCTAATGAATTTGTATGACGAGTCCCAACATTCTTGTTTTTATATTTATATATATTGTCTAAGATACCAGGGTTTACTCATAGAGTAAAGGTGTATATTAGATTCGTCGGAAAGTATGTAAAGGATCTAGATTCTTGTTTAGGATCACTATCAGAGTCAAATTAACCATTTCCGTCTGTCCGTACGTCTGTATGAACGCTGAGATCCCTAAGATGTTGGACTTTTCATTAAAAAGTTATTAGCATGGGGGAGCACATGCTTTCGCATCTCCCCATGGCTGAGTAACGGGTACCTGATAGTCGAGGCCAACGACTGTATCGTTCTCTCTTGCTTAATAAATTATAAAGATTTGCCGTGTCCTTAAAAAATCTCTATATTTGTAGCACAGAGTATTCTAGAAATATTAACTTTAAATCGGTATATCGCCAAAGAAAATATATCCCATAATATTTTTTAATTTTCACATATTTCAAGTCCTTAGTTATTTTTTACTGTGTCGATATATGTATGCATACAAGTGGGTTTCGGGAACAAGGACACGGGAATCAGCACAATTGGGTTCCTTGAAGGACCGGGCCCAATCAGTCGAGTGAAACTGTCGTTGGTAATTGATTTTGGTTGGGCCAACTCAAACTAATTAAGTTATACGATTTCCTTTCCATCGCCGCAGCTCCTTGAATCATTGATTATGTTGTAATAATTAGCGATAGTTATGCAATTAATTCACGCTGTCATCGTCAACATCATCAATGATCCCAAACGAAGTTCGTTGGGGCATTGTGTCGTCCCGGTCTGGGTTTAACGTGGTAGTTCAATATGTACCACTCGAAACAAAACGCTTCCGCCTTGAGAAACTCAAGTTTTTCGCTTGGAAATGCGATTGACTCTAGGTAAAACAGGGCCTTGTTTAAGTTGTCTAACAGTGGAGTGCGCGTGCGGGTTAGAATGCGCAATTTAACTACAAAAAGGTTTAGAACAAGAAGTTAGCTTACCAAAAAATACTTAGAAGCTTAAAGAATTTCGCACACATTTAACTCACCATTGTACATCATGGTCTGATCATTGCGTGTGCATGCATAGGTTATAACGAAATGCTTGTAGTCCGTAAACAAGATATTGGTGTTAAAGTAAGCTTAATAAATAAGATACGAACAATTGAGATGAAAAGTATCATAGGACAATCTACGGGACTCACGACTGTTTTGCACATTGTATGAGGCACAACGTCGCTGGTAGACGGGTAGGTCCAGAGGTGTTGTAGCATAGGCGAACCAGACTCCTAATAACTAATTCATAACAAACTTATTAGCAATGGCCACCAAGCACTTACTTTCTAACTTACTCTTCTTTTATTTACATGCTTCAGGGTCTTAACTTTGGGGCACTTTTTTACTTCAAATGAAGATATCAAAGGCTTCACTGTGGCCCTTTGAAAAGTCGGCCCTAATTTAGCTCCATTAGTAAAACGCACTACAAAAAGTAGAACAGTCAGCAATAGGCTTAAATATATCAACCGCATTGGTATAATATTTCATACAAAGTGGGCCTAGAGTAAGTTCCCAACCATTTGGCAAGGGTTTTCAATTAATATAGGGTTCTTTGGCTTATCAACACTGGCTGGCTAATGAATTGGTTGCGGCTTTTAAAGCGACTCCTTGGTTTCCCATTGCTGTCAGAGTTTACGTGCCGCTTTCTACCAAAGTTTCGGCTTTATTTGTTCAATTTATTCGACTTTTGTTGGGTATTGTTATTTTGCGAGAGAATTGCATAACGAATGGCGGAGTGACGCCTCACCGACAGTGTTGTTTTTGCTTCTTTTCACATGTACATATTCCATCACGGAAACGTGCAGCGGAATCGGAAACGGGGCACGGACATTCGCAATTACACTGGGCCGTTGTCTGTCGATATATTAACTGGGTCCGTGCAATTCTGTTCCAGCGAATCACATCTGCATCTGCATCGGCCGCTGCTGATGCGATTATGTCATCGCCGTTTGGTTCACTGATTCGACAAGGTTTCAGCGTGTCTTGGCCCCCAGATGCGAGTTGTAAATAATTATTTTAGTCGCCAGAATGATCCCACCGCTGGGTTCCGCCCTCATTTGGCTGGTGGTGCTGCTGCTCCTGATGGAACTGGCTGAGGTGTGGTCCAGTTGCTGTGCCTGCCCAGCAGCCCGCTGCAAAATTCCACAATGGCCGTGCTGCAACAAGAAGTCCAAGTGGTACCACGAGATTTTCGGTTAGGAAATGGAGTTTGCACATTTCAGGAACTAAAGTCTGAAATATCTCCTGCTCTATCATATACACCGCACAATTGTTCTTCTTTAATAGAAATATACAAACAAATTGCAATTTCGATGACTGGATTTTATGCAATTGAGCCAGTTAAGTTAAGTGAATTTAAAATTTTTCCTCTTCACTGTAAAAATTCATATTTTGATAACCCCATTAAATCTTCTTAACTTTCATGGCGGCAAAGTGTTTGGTTTCAAGCACGGGTGCTCCCACTTTTAAGGGCATTAAACAGCATAATTTATTTATTTTCAATTAAAATCTGTTCAGACTCGCCGCCTCCTGCTGCTGAATTTTCGCGCTTATGGGGAGCTTTTATTTTTGGTCAATTTTGCGCAACAATTATGTGAGCCCACGAACTCTGGCCCCGCCCCTCGACCCCTCGCATCCCCAACTTGACTGCTCGACAACGTCAAATGATTTATTCAATTTGTGCTATGAAGCGTAAACTTTTTGTTTGCTCGCTGGCTGCGGAAGTTCGCTGTGTGAATCAATCGCGGGAGTCGTGGATCCTCCTCCCCGGGAACAACAATTTAAACAGTATTTCCACATGACAATGGCCGAGATACATTTATGGCGACCCAGGAGGTCAAACTGAATTTGAATATTTAACTTGATGCTGTGCATTGCTGCGGTTGATAGAGATAGAAAGGATATGGATACACAGTCGCTCAGCTGCAATGTATTTCCCCTGGGCCAGCCAATTATAATTACAACCCTTTCGCGTTGTTCTGCCAAATAAAATGTTCAACATCATTGCACTTTGCAGCTTCATTTGTTCACGACTGCTTTTCGGTTTTCCCCCCTCAGGATCCTTTTACTTTACGGCAGTCCGGCAAAAGTTTTCTTTTTACAGCGATATTAAGTTAATTACTTTTGCCGTCGAAGTGCGGAACTCGGACGGGTGTTTATGGAATGCCGGCCTGCAGACTCATAATTAATAAGCATTTAGTTGGACACACCTCGAGGCGCACTCCAATGATGTTGTCAAAAAGCGTGAGCTGTTAAAAAGTATATTCATATTTGATTTTTATGATGCATTTCGCACGCCCCTCAATTGAAGGGCGAACGTGCCTGCCACTCGATGATTTCACCAGCCTTCAGCAAGACAGCTCGACGAAGAGAACTGCGAGAAACCCTCGTCGATGGGAAAAAGTGAAACCGTAATTGGTGAGTAGTCTGGAATTACTTGAGCTGTGGCTGAGGGCTTTATTGGGACCGACCGCGCTAATTTGATGATGAGATAAGTCGGGGAGATGTGGCTGTCAGGGTCTCAAGAAGCTACCAAAGGATATCAGGGCTGAGTAAGCTCTGCTTGTATTTAATACAAACATTTCACTTTGATAAATACGTTAAGGGGTTGCGGAGGGTTTTTGGGCCACAATCAAGCCTTGTTCGTGATTTTTTTAAACTTAGTTGATTTTGTACATTTAAGATACATGTTTTCTTGGTAAGTTAACTAACTTAAGGAATAGAAAACTTGCTTGCTATCTCTCAAAGAAAAAACCACTCAACCGAAGGACATCATAACGGTTGACAGGATTATCAGAAAGTTACAAGAAAATTGAAATGTTATATAGGGTTTTAAAAAGAAAAAATTTTAAAACTAGTAAACATCAAAATGTTTTAAAGTCATCGTTCACACAGAAGGGAAAACCCAAGTACATTGTGCTTGATTTGAGAACACTCGTTCTTAAAAACCGTGTAAGTACAAATGTTCTTATTTTGACCCATTTCAAGTCGAAATGCAACTCACTTTTTGTTCTATTTTTAGACCTTTCCGTTCTTACTTTAAGAACATTTTGAGATTACTTGGATTTTAAGAACAAATTGATTTTTCTAAATGTAAAAAATTTCGTTCTTGTTTTGAGAACAATTTTGTTTTAACCAAATTTTAAGAACCAATTCAACTTGATTAAATTATAATGAGAACATTTTGAACTGAAAAAATGTCTTTCTCATTTTAAAAACATTTTCAACTCAAATGAGAACGTCAGAATTCTCTCTGTGTAGATGTTTAGATGCTATATATATGTACAATATGAGAAAAAGGGTTCATAAAAGTGGCGGATCCAGAACTTGGTTGTGGGGGGATATAAACAAATTTGTTGAGTAGAAACAAAACATTTGGAATTAAATACATCATATTACATATACTTTTAACCGGAGTGGGATCTATACCCTACATCCCCACCGTGTATTCGCGTATGGTTTATAAAATAGCTTTTTTAATGTGTTATTTCATATTAATTTTAGTACAAGCCAACAAGAAACATTAAGGTCTTATTAAAATAGTCTCTTACTATATCTTAGCTAAGCCAGGAGAAGTTTGCAGTTGGAAAATCCACATAAGCAATGTTTCTGCAGATGCCTAATATCGAAGGATCATATCCAGTTGCCAAAATGTATATGGCAAAAGGCCCGGCCCCAGTGCCCGGCAGACATGCGCCTGTCTGTCAAAGTATCGCAAAATGTGTTGCTCATATAAATTTCATTTATGCCAGTTAAATTAATTACTGTCAACACATGCGAGGCGGCAGCTCCACCACCACCACCACCACCAGGCAACACCACCAACATCGCCAAGAAGAGGAGCACCGCAGCAAAAACAATTGCCAATCAGCCACAGAAACTAAAGCAGGCCAAGCGTCCAACCAAAAGTCCAAAAACAACGCGGGAAACTTGGACGCAGAGTGCTGAGAGTAGAGCGTGTTGCGAACATAAACACAAAGTCATAAAGTTTTTACACAAAAACATTTAATTTTATTGCATTTTTGGGCGGCAGCCAGACCCCAGACCCCAGACCCCGAATCCGAATCCGAAACCAGACGACGTCGTGAACAATGCACCACCCAGCGGGGGGAGGGGGTGCGGTGGAGGCCGTCCATGAGGGGTGGGTGGGTGAGCTCCGCTGGGAGCATGGTCTGCTGGCCGGGCCAACTTAATTTGCCGCAAATCGAGCAAAACTACAGCGAACAGAAGCGCTCGGGAGTAGCGGACCGAAAATCGCACAAAATTTTCGGCAGGACAGGCGTGTTATTCTGAAAACTTAAAAAAATCGGGGTAAAGTAGAATAGAAGAAAAACATGTGCTGCCTCAGCAAGAGGAATCTTATAAAAGTTTTATTTGATAAATCAATATCATGCCACATTTTATTGAGTTACTTAGGTAAAGATTGATAATATCTGAACAAACTATAATTTTGATTATTGGGGTGTATCTAAAATATAGGTTTTACACTGGTTATATAATTTTACCACTCTTTAAGGAATTGGTATAACCATAGGTGGACGACTGGTTTGTCATTATTGGTTTACTTAATTCTTTGGTTAGAATTTAATTAAATAGCCATAATAATAATAATAAACTAACAATAATATAATAAATAATTTGACAATTTATTAATCATCCACTTCTTTTATGAGTCCTGAAATATCATTCAAGTAGTAAAATTATTGCTTAATTCTGACTAACTACGCATATCCTGTTCAAAGGGGAAAACCGTGAGAGTTTAAATTTGCAGATGGCTGGATGGATGCTGCCTGTGTTCCCCCGTTCGAATTGTTCCCACACGACTCGTGTGGCGGGCGCGGTTGACGTCAGCAGCGTTTGTGGAAATCTGCGCCCCAAACACCAGAACACATTGTCGTCATGCATCTGCAGTTGTTTAGACAACTTCTTGTCTTGCGACTCGCAGCTGAAACGAGAAACCGAAGAATCGGCGTAGCGAGCAGTCGGCACACTGGAAAATGGGCCAAGCGAAGATCTTTTCTGTCTGGAGGTTTCGGTCTTTTCCCTTTTTCCCAAAACCTCCTCGCCTAAAACCATCTCATTTTTGGCATGTGCCTAAAGTGCAGCATTAAAATAAAAATTATGCGGCAGACGGCGAGCTGCAGACCGCAAAACGCAAAATGCAAAATGCACCACGAAAAGAGAGAAGTAAAAACGTCCAGCGTGCGTATACGTAATGTGCATTAACATCAACAAGTGTGGAGGAAAATTCGCGTAGATTTGTGGGTTTTTATGGACAGAGGAGATTGGTGGGAAATGTGTGCTTGCTGCAAATGGGAAGACTGCCAACAACAAATTTTCGGTCGATCCCATTTCGAAATGTTTTTCAATGCAGGGCCTTCGAGAGGCGCATTATGTTTGAAATGATGATGATGCCATGATAATCATGGCAGCGATTACTGTCCTAAGTGGTGGGGATTGTGGCTCACTCTGTTTGGTTGAAACTCACGTAGGGATCGCTCACACGTCGTTTTAAAAACATGAGTAGAAGTATATTTCCTTAAAGATATTTTTATACCCGTTACTCGTAGAGTAAAAGGGTATACTAGATTCGTCGAAAAGTATGTAACAGGCAGAAGGAAGCGTTTCCGACCCCATAAAGTATATATATTCTTGATCAGGATCACTAGCCGAGTCGATCTAGCCATGTCCGTCTGTCCGTCTGTCCGTCTGTCCGTCTGTCCGGATGAACGCTGAGATCTCGGAAACTATGAGAGCTAGGCTATTGAGATTTGGCGTGCAGATTCCTGAGCTTCTTACGCAGCGCAAGTTTGTTTCAGTAGACTGCCACGCCCACTGTAACGCCCACAAATCGCCCAAAACTGTGGCTCCTACAGTTTTGATGCTAGAATAAAAATTTTAACGGAAATGTAATGTTCTCATCAATACCTATCGATTGACCTAAACAAAAGTTTGCCACGCCCACTTTAACGCCCACAAACCGCGAAAACCTGTGACGCCCACAATTTTTATGCTAGATAAAAAATTTTAACTGAAATGTATTCGTCTCGTCATTACCTATCGATTGACTCAAAAAAAAGTTTGCCACGCCCACTTTAACGCCCACAAACCGCAAAAACCTGTGACGCCCACAATTTTCATGCTAGATAAAAAATTTTAACTGAAATGTATTGGTCTCGTCGATACCTATCGATTGATCCAAAAAAAAATTTGCCACGCCCACTCTAACGCCCATAACGCTTAAATCTGTATACCGCCGGTAGGTGGCGCATTTTAATCTCGCTTTGCTGCTTGCATATCTCCATTTAGCTGAGTAACGGGTATCTGATAGTCGAGGTACTCGACTATAGCGTTCCTCCTTGTTCTGTTTGGAAAGTATAATTTTTCACAAACACATATAGTATCCATAACTACATTT